AATGGCACATGCAGGCCTTTGAACATCCCAGGAGTTGCTAGTAGCAAGAGCCCTGCTGAAGACCCACAAACATGAGGTCTGCAGCACCACAGCACCACACAGCTACACCCCACTGCCCTGTTAACTGGCCACAGCTTCAAATAGACCCAAGACTACCTCAGCAGTGTGTGTGGAAGCCAGAACAAGAACTATGGAGGCTTTCAGCTGTAAGATCACCCTCTTTGTCACTGTAATTGAGTCAGGTCCAGCATCAGGAACCTGGCAGCTGCTGCTCAGGAAATCTGCTCTGTACTGTCCATTACCTCTGCTCAGCTCAGGTCCCCACCCAGGGCTTCCAACTAGATCACCAAGCCACACTAAAAATAGCCAGCTCACAAAACCAGATCTTGGCTCTAGCCACTCCACCCTCAAAATACAGAGACTAACTATACTGCCTTCTGCAAACAAAGGAGAATTCACTCCTCCATCTATTTATAAGCTGCTTATTCACAGCTTGCAAGCACAGATTCTTTTCAGATGAGGAGCTTGGGGGAAGAGATTAAGCTTTTTCTGGTTCCATGTTGCACTGAGCCAAGCATTCAACATGATAGTTCCTTCACTATCTGAGGTTCTTCTCCTTTCAGCTATCACCTCTAGCCTTTGGAATATCTTGCCCATCACCCAGCAGAGCATGACACAACCCCACTCCCATGCCACAGTGAGAACATAGGTTCATGGTAGAGCCAGGCAGGTGCATTTTGGTTAAACTAGTATAAACCATCTATATATTAATATAAAATGGTTACACCTTCTTTACTCTACTTGTGACTCATAACACATCTGCAGGACGAAAGGCATTCACTGGGCACTTGTCTAGGCACACATTTCCAACTCTTGGCTACATTGGAAGAATAGCAATGATGAGAACAACAGTGAAAAACACCTGGCTAAATACAAGGTTAAAAGGATTCTGACCTTGCTGCCCAGCCCCTCATCACAGCCTCACTTCAGCAGGATCTCCCACTGCTGCTGCCTGGCTTCTGGGAGCTTCTCTGACATTTCCATCATAAACAGTAAGTTTTTGACATCCACTGCAGAAGCAGCAACACATCTGTCCACCTTTCACAGCTGGCTCAGAGAGTTGCCTGCAAGCTACAGGTCAGTTAACCTAGACAGCCAGAAGCCAAAGCTACACCTGCTAACCAACTCTATGTACCTTATTAAAAATACTGTGATTATTAAAAAATTCATGTTTGAAAGTGCGAAAAGAAGTATTAACAGCATTGAAGTGACGGAGTTGTCTGTGCCATTTGGCCACACTCACCAAGAGGAACTTCAGCTATGCTAACAGCTCTGCACTTCAATCTCCAGAAAGACTGGGACACCAAAACCTCGAAGAGTTCAGCTAACAGACCAGGAGAAGCACTGAGCCTTCAGCACAGTGGATGGTGTGAAGGCAAATGTGCTGGCTTTAAATCCACAACAGTGAGCAAGTGGCAATGCCACCTCCAGCAGTCCCCCTGCACCTTTGGGTGGCCAGCCCTATCATTACAGCACTTAAAGAGGCGCCACAAAGACACTGGCTCATCAGTGCCACACCCACACCAAGTCCAGGCCACATTCAGCCTGGTCTTGCTGGAGGTGGGACATCTCAGAGGGATCAGCTGAGCACACCACAGCCTCTAAGCCAAGGCAATGAGCTGCCTGCAGGATGTGTATTCTGGTGACTGAGCTCCTCCTTCCTGAGCAGAGAAAAGGCAGAATTCCAGACAGGCTGCTTGGAGAAGTCTGTCTTTCCTTTTGTGGATGGGCAAGGCTATCTTTTACAGGGGTACTTGGTGGAGAAAGGAGTATGAGGACTCCTGGTCAGCTCACAATGTGAGAACTTAACTGGTCAAAGCCACTGCTGTGGTGCTACAGCACCTCAGGATGAGACCACCCAGGAGAGACTCCTGGAAGCTCTAAAATCATCTGTTAGAGAAACAAATAGATGGAGCACAACACATCCCTCCTGCATGCCCATATCTTTGATGGAATGAGCTCCACTTTTGCAGGAACGAACCTGTGGCTTAGCAAAGCCTCACAAATCCCAGGTCAGACTTGAGCAGCAATGTGATTCCACTGCTCTGTGCCACAAAACACTACAAAGGGCATCTCTGCTCTCCAGGAGGGCAGAGAGAGCAGAGAAGGTTCCACAACCAATCCCGCAGGAAGAGTTCCATTACTAAAGAAAGACTAAAGCAATTCTTGTTTGCTGTGTGCTTTTAAAAGGTATTTGGCAGATATCATGTGATTGCACTACTACATGCCTGCTTCCTTGCCTGCTTTAACTTATTATCTCCAACCTGTGGTCAGGCATTTTCAGAAGGGTTCATCTATCTCCATTCTTACCAGCTCCTGGTGTTCTTTTTCCACATGAAACCACAAAAGAGCAAGAAAGACATCTGTGACAGCTAGAAAAATGTATCACCTGAAAAATAAAGCGAGTCAATCCCTTGCTTGGTTAATCCCAAGGTGAAGGTGCAGGTAGGTTTGTCATCTTTATTCTTAAAAAAAAAAAAAAAAAAAAATCACTATTTTACCTTTAGTTCTCTACTTGTCATTGGCATATTTTAATTAAGTGTAGCCAAAATTCCAGAAAACTGTTTTTTAAATTGTCTTCTCTATTTATATGTAATTCCTGCATATTCAGACTGTCACCTGCTCACAACTGGCCTCCACTTATGACTAATAAGTCCTGGCAGTCATGACTCTGTTTTATCAAACTTTTGTGCCACACGAGACAATAGAAAACGTGGGACAACGTCCCAACAATGGGACACGTGAGAGACAGAAGAGCCAAAACGTGACTTAGAAGAGTAAAGCCATTTGACTTGCTTTTGTAAATAATTTATTTCAAGTATTGGGAGAATGGGTGTGGAATTGGGCTGTTAAGCATTGATCAAGATTTTACAATTCAAAGTTTAGAACAGCAGTACCACAAGCCCTGCTGAGTGCATACACAAAGGCAGTCCTGTTTCTTTTTCACACACCACTAGTTAAAAATCAAATATTGGACCTACATACATCAACAGCCACTCTATGCCAGCTTAGCTGGCCAATTATAATATTTTGTCTCTATCCTGCTTTGATTGTATCTATTAAAGAAGCCTTTGAAAATCATAACTTTTACAGTATTAGCAGAGCTTAGAACCTTTAATATCTGTGCATCAGATAGGAAAGAAGGAGTAAGTGCAAAGCCATGAAGGACTCAAAATTAACAGTGCCTTATATAGAGTTCTCTAGCCAAGGGATAGAGCCTTCTTCCTCATTTGAAGGGATCCTGGAACAAAGAAGAGTGGACTTCTAGAGTCCTCTGCCTCAAGTTAGTTGAAAATTAAAATACTTCATGGATTTTAGCTTCTGCAACTACTCCACAGCCTAGAAATGAATAACTTTCTCCTGCTATATTCATTTATGCTCCTCAAGCTGGAAAGAGCCACATATATTTGAGCCATGGCATACAATCTCCTTTCACGTTGGCAGGCAATGAATATAATCTGAATTAAGCAGAGAACATGCTACACAGCTTCAGAATGCACTCAAACACTGTACAATCAAAGAATTCTGTGTGTATCCCCCATCCCTGCCCTTGCTAAAGTAATCAAAGCAGTAAATTATCCTTAGGGCCTCTGTCAGATCAGGTTTCAAAGTTGATCATTTCCCTGCACAAAAACACAGGCTTAGTTTAAAACCAAAACGTAAAACTCATGCACATTCTCCCCATTCTCCTAGGCCTCTAAAGTTGCTGTGTTGCTTAAAATAAAGTAAGTAATAATAAAAAACCGAAACAAAACAAAGCACAAAAACCCGCCTTATTGTGCTTCTCATGTCATGTGAGAATGAAAAGATTATACTGTAGTAATTCAATCCAAAATTGCATCAAGATTACTTCACCAGTTCAGCAAGAGAACTGTGTCTGCATAGTCTGCCAGAGCCCCTGACAGGAGTCAGAGCAAGCAGGGAACAGAAACAGTTACACAGCCTGTCCTCATGCTCCTCTCTCTGCACCAAAGTGTCAATCCTCTTCTTCCAGTAACAGGTAGCAACTTGCACTGTCATCCATTTGCTGAATTTCAAAAGAGAAATGTTCTTTCCACAGTGTTTGGTTGAGATATTCCATAACTACTTTGTTATCTTCTCTTCATTCCCTCCCTTCAAACCTCCCAGCTTGTGATGGCAACACAGAGCTGAACCAGAGCAAGGCTGTGGATGCACAGAGCTATTCCACACCACCATGCCAACCCCTGCACCCTCATCTGCACCCACAGGCCAGCGCTTATCTCACACTGGGCTGGAAGCTCCTGGGTGCAAAGGCTGCCTATCTACCTTGTTGTTTGCACAGCACATAACACAGAGGCCTTCTCATGCTGATAGGCTTCAGGTGTTTTAACAGCACAAACACAAGTTGTGCAACGCCCTGGGGATGTCAAACAGCTGGGCTCCCTCAGTCCCCGCTTCTCATACCAGCCCTGCAAATGGGCAGTGAGTGTTTGTGCAAACTGTACCACTGTGAAAGGAGATCAGAGCCTGCTGCAGCCAGCAAGCATTCCTCCCAGCTAAGGTCCTTGGAAATCCCCTTGCACAAGGAGTGCCTTAGGAAATCACACAGAGATAATGGCCTGTACCTAAACATTCATCACTGGTATCAATTAAGGCTTGTGTTTTAGAGGTACCCAAAATATCCAACTCTCTCTACGCTACAGAAGATAAGCCTGATTTGGCTTGAAAAAGGAAGTTGAACCATGTAAGTGAATCCCCCTGGACTAGTTTTTTGACTGGGGAAGAAGCAATCAAGATGAGAGTAAAATTCTCTTTAAAAAAAAAATTACAAAAATTACATTTTTTACCTTTGCTGGTTCAATATAATTCCTTGCTACACAAAGCTGTTCTCCAGCCTGCACCAATGATGGGGCAGCTCAAGGAGACTCCCAGCACCTGCTTTTTGCTCATCTCCATCTCCTCCCATTCTGGGGGCTCACCTGTAGTCTTGGGTAAGGGTGACACAAGACTCCTCCTTCCCCAGTCTGGCCAGGATCGCTCCACCCTCCTGCTGCACCTTGACCAAACTTGCATCTTCAAGAACATTTTTCATCAACTGCCTTGAATTCCTCAGCAGCACAGCTGCATCCTGGAGGGATCACAAGAGTGAGGTGAGCAGTTACTGCAACCTACAGGCAACGAGGAAACAGGCAAAAAACAGCACCTAAACCAAAACACACCCAAACACACATCTCACCTGGGCCTACTCTAGGAAAAGGGGAGGTTGGTTCCTACAGCTATTTCTCTTCAGCCTAAACTGTGCTCCTTATGCTCCTGATACCTTCCCCACCAGGCTAAAATTGTGACTCATTCCCATCACTGTTGTTCCATTCATTTGGTGGGAATCGAAGAAATAAGCTTTCCAGCACCTAGCTCCTACTGTTCTGAGAGTCTGAACCTGCATGGCTCCAAGCCTTGGGACAAGATGACCATGAAGGGTTTGTGGATACACAGATGTGTGCAGAAAGGCAACTTCCACATCCTCCATGATTTACTACTGGGACCCTCAGTGCAGAGCTGGCAGCAATTCCCTACCATGTCAGGGGTACAGCAGCTTCTCAAGAGAAGAAATAGAAAATTAGTGACCACATAGGCTTGGTCTTTGTCCCTTCCCCTTCTTGCCCACTTCCCAACTTGTGTACTGGAGGCAGCAGAGCTGCAACCACAGCACAGAACTAAGCTGTCACCTAGTTTTATTCCAGGCCTCAAGCTGACCTGATGTGGCACAGCCCAAGGCAGCTGCTGTGCACCCAGCACACCAAAGTTTGTACCAGCTACAGAGCTCTGGAGTTGCTGAGAATGCACCCCAATGCTGGAGCAAACACCCATCAGCAACAAGCCCAGCTGGAGAGACCTCCTTGGTGACACTGAGGAATCTGACAATGAGCTTCCAGACCCACTGAAGCCTCTATCACTTCATTTGGATTAGCTTCTACTAACACTGGAAACACCCTGCTACTACAGCTTGCAAATTCAAAGCCAGCTTTTCTGCAGCTATCCAGCCTCATGCTCTCTTCTGTTTCAGGTCCACCTCTGATCCAAGGTGAGGGACATGCTTACCTCAGCCTTTTCTGGTAATTTTGCAGATTCCACTTTATTAATAGCTCCCTGGAGGAAGGCACAAACACCATGGCATCGTTGTAGTAAGTATTCCAGTTTCTACAAGAAGAAAGGACCAAGGCAGAGATTATGGTCTCACAGCTGACAGGAAAAGGTCTTCTGAGCTTGCAGAAGCTTAGAAGTACAAAAATCAAGAGAGGATCAAACATACCAACCCAAGGGTTCAATATATCATTCAGTGAGACTATCAGCAAAGAGAGTCCCATCAGAGGGTTCAGATGCACCACACTAAACCGAGGCCTCTATGCAGACCTTAGAAACCTGCATACTCATGGCTTGGATGGGTCATGCTTTACAGAAAAAAACTAAAAAAACCCAATCCACTTATGTCTCACATTCTTCTACTAGCATTTCTTGTAATTTTCCATGAAGATGAATCATACTGCATGAATTTCAGACAAACTAAAGATAAAACAAGTACTTGGAATTTTTCTACTTTAAATCATTTCTCTTCGTGTTAAAAGTAGTGTAATTTAAAAATTAGGAAACTGGGAATCTTCCAAAATTAAGCACCTTAACCTATGGACAAACTTGAAATTCTTCCTCTCTTCAGGGTGGGGGGAAACAGGGAGAAAAACAAACAAAAAAATGTCCAGACGTTTCATAAGGGGTCATGAGGCATTATTTTTTAGAAAAGTTAATGATCTAAAGCCTGAATACTGTCAAGATACCACCCTCTAGCCACTTAAATGAGAAGAAGAGAGAAACAGTTATTCCAAAATAACCATGTTTAAAACAAAACAAAAAAGCAGCTGTTTGAATCTTTACTGAACTCCCTCCTCCCCTGGAGTGCTGGAACACAGCCAGCAGTGAGAGATTAGCAGGCAGGATGCAGGTGAGATCACTGAGACAGGAAATAAATGCTTTTTGCCACATAGCTGCAGAGCTAAAGAAGCTGAGCACATGGGTCATTATCACACACAGTATAAACAGGCTTTCCATACAGAATTATTCCCATACTAACTCCCTTTGGTAATGTTTTACATGCTAAGACAAGAAGCAGCCTGATATTATGGTCCTTCCTTCAAGAATTAACCTTCTGCACACACAGAGCACCTCAGCTCTCAAGGTATTCTCAACTCTGTCCATTAAACTAATCCATAACTTCTTGCAAAGTTTCCCTCCTTCATCACTGCCAAATAAATTTCAACTTCTCAAGGTCAATCCTAGGCACCAAGATTAGGCCTCTGTACCTCTACTGCATCAACACAGGTTCATACAAGTACTTTTAGATGAAAGTTAAAAAAAAAAAAAGGTTCCAAAATAAGTTGGAAAAAATAAGTTAACATTTGGCACATGCCAAGCCTATCTTCTGAAGCCTGCCACCAGCAGCACAGCAGTGTTATCAGTGATATCTTAATCTGATTCAAGTGTTGCACTGTGCCACACAGCACTCTGAGTAGCAAGGTCAGAGCCAAAAGACCACTGGATCCTCTGGAAGCTGAGGTGACAATTCTATCAACCACCAGGGTGAGCAAACTCAATGTGAAGACAGCCAGCTTGTGTGCAGATTTAGAGAGATTTGATCCTGTCTACTCTTGGTGTGCCAAATAATTCAATAGAGCTTTTAAAGATTCAGCAAGCACGTGGTCGACAGCACTCAGACTCCCTCCACAGCACAAGTGCACACAGAGCTGGGTATTGGTGTACCATGGATGCTACCTCTGCAGGCTTCTGGCAGTCTGCACATACCCTGCTGCTTGCAAGTCAAAGATACTCCGGGAAGAAGAATTCCGAACTCATTATCCAGAGCTTCCAAGTCTCACTCATGCAAGCACTGCAAATATTACCAAGGAGATAACAGCTTGCTCTGGGGAACTTGCTCCAAAACCAAAAAGATTTAACTCGTTATTATACTCAAGTTCTTCATTGTTAGTCCAATGGCAACATGATACTAACACCTTCTCCTGAGATTAGCTTCAGATGTCTGTCCTCCTGTCTAACTCGAGAGCCACTGCATATCACAACAAAACAGGATTCCATTTCAGATTTCAGCATATTTTGAAGGCAAGAAAGAATATAAAGAATTAATGCAGTTCCAGCAGATGAGTAAAAAAAATAAAATTTTAGTTCCTGCAGTCATGCCAAGAGACCACAATGTGTACCCATCTTATGAAGACAGTATTAGCATTTTTTTTGATACCAGAGATTCATTTGCATTCACAGCTTTACAGGAACATTGTCTTTTAATGCTTGTATGTTCAGCTGTTGACAGGTTCCTCTTGTTCCCATCTGTTACCATGCCACTGCTTCTCCCAGACACCAAGGCACACAATACATCCTACTCACCCTGCGGAAGCTTAGCCAGTCCTGGTGGCAGTATGGGAAGGTCCCATCCAGCTCTAGAGGCAGCTGTGAGCTGTCTATGTGCTTATGGAGGGATTTCATGGAGGTGAGAAGTTCAAACTGCACAGGAATAGAAAGGAAAAGAAAAAAGCACACTTGTATTAGGGTGTGAGTACTGGAGGAGGAGGGGAAGGTAATAAAAATGCAGAATCCATAATTTTTTATCTATCTTGCACAGAAGCACAGCATGCAGGGTGTAGCTGCAATATCATCACTACAATATGAAGGGGAAAAAAATACCCAATTCAATCTTAGAGCAGCTTGTTGAACAGCTCAGTGGGCGAACCCTGAAGGAATGCAGGCCACAACATGCTGTTTCACCAGGCAGAACATCTGTGATGGAAGTCTGGCAGCAGGCAGCCTTCTCCAGAGCCAGTACCTCCTGGTGTAAGCAGAGCAACTCCCTCATATGTTCCCACAGTTGTGCTGCGATTTGCATCTGTTTGGAGAATCTGGGAGGTTAAATCCAGCCCCCAGCTTCCCCATCTCACTTCCTAGAAAAAGAGTCTAACAGAGCAGCCTCTACCCTGCCCTCAACTCTCCACTCATCACAGCAGCTATTTGCTCCAAAAGTTTATTGGATCTTGACACAGGTAACTGTAGGACCTCACACTCACCAGAGCAACAAGTGCTCCTGCAGGTACATGGAAGCCAGCCCAGACATAAATTCAGGTGCAGGCATTTAACTCCCCCACATACACAGTGTGAAGTTTCTACCTCCTTACAAAATTGTGATGATGCTTCCAATTCCTCCTGCATACCCATGTGTTTATTAGCCTTTCCTCTGTTCCCTCCTACACTCTTTGTGTTTGTTAAATGTATTTGTCTTCCGTAGCTCTCCCTGCATGCCTGCAGCCCCCATTCTGACTCCAAATTCTTCCACATGGGGGCAATAAGGAAATGGACTATTAGCATTTGTTATTTTCAGCCTTTTGGGACACCACACCACACACACAGCAAAACTGATGCCTGTCACAACATCTTCATCCACAGAAGCCAAAAGGGATCTCCTGGCCTACTCTGAAACCTACAGAGTTTCAGCAGGCACAAAATTTCAGTCCATTCTTGTAGCTTGCAACAGTCTTGGAACACAGGAAGAGGACGAGGATGAAGCCTGATCCTCTGTTCACCCACCACAGAGTAGCTGGGAGCCTACATTTCTTACAGAGCTATAGAATACCAAAACAGTTTTACTTCCAGCGGGTGAGTTCACTGATGTTGTGGTAACTTTCCCTCCTGTTGTTTTTTCCAGATATTCAAGCTACAAAGGGAACCTCACACAAATGCCCATCTCATCTTCCCCTTCTTGCAGATCTCTCTCAGCCACTGGCAGCAACAGGTATGAGGAGAGGAAACAGAAGAAATGCAAAATCCAGGAAAGCAACAAGCACCCTCAAAGGTAGAGTTCAGGATTTAGCATAACGTGATCTCTTCCTGACCACGCATTTCCCCCTTGTTAATGGGAGAACATAAAAAGCCTCTCTAGCTAATTGTGCAGTGCTCCTCCATACACTTACCCATGTTCCCAACAAGCCCCTGTGTTTTGAGCCCCCAGCAGACTGACGTAATTGTGGCACAAATGTCACTGATGGACACGGCAATAAACAGAGCATGACAGGGATCTGTTCAGCTCACATAAACACTACAACCCAATAAATATCACAGCTGCAGAGACCACAGCCACAAAACACAGAGGACACCTACAGAAATTTCATGTGAGAATTAACATACATCAATGACAGGGAATTTACTGCCTGGAGAATTAAATAAAGGATATCAAGAGTGGCCCAGCAAATCCCAGATAAATAGCTCCATTACCTGTCCTGCTGGTGGCTTCTCCATCCGAAAAGTCAGATCTCTTTCAACTAGAAGCAGTACTCCATGAATACAGTGAGGCTCCATGTCCTAAAACAGAACAGACCATAAATCCATTACTGATCTGCCTTGGATACCAAGGAGAATGTACCACACCACGTTCATACACAAGTTTACAATTTATCCTTCAAAGGCATCTTACAAAGCCTGGAAGGCAGCCACCAGAAATTAAAGAAGGCCAGTCTACATAGTACAAGGTGATGTCTTTAAGGTAGGTTGCTTCAGATCAACTAGTCCTTCAATATTTAAGGAAGCAGTGGAAAAGGTCAGGTGTTGGCAGTACTAAAGAAGCTCTGCCTTCTGCACAGGGAAGTGAGTCAGGAGAAAAAAAAAAAAAAAAAGAAAAAAAAAAAAAAAAAAAGCCAAACTCAAAAACCACGTTCTGTGTCCAAGTTTTTTCCTGATAACTTTCCTGGTCACTTCACCTAACCGAAAGGAAGTGGCTTTCCCCCCTCCACCCCCAATCCAGTGCCAAAAACATCGTCTTGTCTCTACTTACTGCCAATTTACAGTCAAGTACTTGCATCCTGTTTCTACTGTTAAACTGACAGAAATTCCAAATACAAGGGATGTTTGGCAGCTGTAGTTCAAACTCAGTGATTCAGGAGCAGCTCTCCAATTACAGAAGCATTCTACAGGGAAGTGAGAAACAGGCAAAGAGGGCAACGGCAGGAAGAGGGAAACATGGCAGAAAGATTCAGACCATAGAGACAGGGCTGCCTACATATGTGATGCCTGGACCAGGAAAGCAAGGAGAAGAGCCATTTAAGCTGTTGTGCCACAGGATTAAACAAGAGTCATCCCATTTCAATGTCTTCTACACGGTCTTTGCCTCTGCAAAGATCTCAGGGAATTGTCAAGCAACAAGTCCTTTCTGGTGTTGCTCAAGCTGCAAGGAACCTGCCACACAGCAGGCCACAACAGCAAAGGAAACTTGTTTAAATAAACAGCTCCAGCAGTGAGTAGGGTTAAATATCTGCCAGGAGCAGCAGAGCCAGAGTACAGAGAGAAGTGGACCAACAGAGACTGAATGACCTAACGTGACACTGGGCCCAATTCTGCAATTCAGAAACAACGCCAACACAAGGAGCCCCGATTCCGCAAGAGAAAGCAGCAACAGAGATTTCAGAACAGAGGAAAAAGACTTTTCTCTCATCCAGTCCTAAACCACGATCCTTTTCTATACCCAACAAAAAAAATCCCAACTGAAACACCTTCCAAAACCGTGACAGGTTTCCAAATCATCTCAAATTCCTCCAAAGTGAATTATTCCCACTTTCACTGTTATTTAAACACTGATCAAAAGGCCAAAAAGGATTTATTGCATAATTAGGCAGCATAAGGTAAATACTGAAGAGCAGATGGGGAGACATTACAGCTGTATCACCAGCTCTGAATTTATCTGCTAGAAAGTACTGAAGGATGAAGACTGGACACAAATTCAAGACTGGTGATGGTATTAAACAAATTTTTTCTTACACAATCCCTCTTCTGCACCAACAGTCAAGAAATGTGCAATCTGAGTGAGGGATAAAGGTAGTGATGGTGTAACAAGAGGTTACCACAGCAGCCAAAACACTCATTTGTTTGCTACTCCTGAAAATAGAAACTGAAAAACCATTCACAGATAAAGCTGTCAAGGGAAAAGTTCGAGGTCTTCCAACTCAAGAAGAAACTGTAGTTCCAAAGAAATCAAGTACTTTTCACCACATTTTTAAATTTAAACCGCTGAAGAGAAGTCAGTCTCATCCAGTTCTGACAGAGCAATCCGAAGACTGAGACAGTTCACCAGGAGCACCTCAGGAGACAAGCAGAGCTGGAAGCAGCAGGATGCCACTCAAGGAAGCTTTCCTGCAGCTTTCAGCACAATCTCTTACCAGCTTGGCTAACAAAACCAACTACACAGAAGCAAAGAAACAAGAGTTCCACACATGTAAATTAACTCCTCACCTCCCAAAACTGTTACTGTGTACTGTGGACAGCATAGAATAGAGGGGCATCAGGAGGACTTCAGAAAGCATCAGGGTAAATACTGATCCTTTCATTATTATTAAGAGAATTAGATACTTTTTTCAAGGTTTCTCAGACTGAAGTTCCAGTTTTCTGGTGTCCTGCCCCAGATGGAAACCCTTGGCCAGACTTAACAACACTGGCACAGTTGGAAGCACAGGCTGCCAGGAATGTTTGTGCAGAGGGCAGAGTCCCCAGGTACCTCAGTCAGTCTCAAAGTGACCACTCTAATGGAGTAGCAGGAGTTCCCTGGTCTTTAATGGCTGTACTTCTGCACTAAGTGAGAATGCAAATACACCTCTTGAACAGAAAGGTTTGCACAGAACTCTGCTTTCAAATGCTAAACTGACTTCCCAATCCAATACACAAACACATCTGATTACAGGATAAAGCCTTCACACTGATACTGGAAATTCAAAAGAATCTTACTCTACTAAGACTCAGGCAGAGAGAAATCCCACAGATACCAAATCACTGAAGGCAGGGCACACATTCCACTGCCCATGCTCCACCTGCTCACTGAGCAAGGGATCAGCCTGGCACTTCTGAGCAGCAAAGTTCCTTTAAGAGCAGCCCCCCAGCACAGAGCTTACTGGTGACAACCTGTAACCAAAGATTACAGCATTTATCCCTGCAAAAATCCTTGCTCCAAAGCATCATTACGCAGTTTCCCACAGGAACAAGCCTGATCTATTCCTGCAACATGCACACGCTGTGCACTTCCCTTCACCTCCGCACAGAGCTGCCAGAGTTCCTCCTGCTTCTTCCTGAGATAGCTCTGCAGCAGCTTTTTATTCTGCCCCACTCCCTCTGCTCTGGCTGCTGTCTGGGACAGAAAGATTTCCCAGCCACCCAATATTCTAAAAATAAGGGGAAAAAAATTATTGCTGAATATAACTGGCCCTACCCTGAAGGCAGAGAGGATAAGCTCCCCACCAGTTTACCAGGTGGTTCTGGACAGAGCAGCTGACAGACTCCCCGTGCTGTAGGGAAAACTAACCTGCAAGCACCTCAAGTTGTCTACTAGCACTTAATTCCCATCATGCATTCTGGAAAGATAGAAAAGTGGAAGAAAGACTTCCTCAGGCTGACATATCTTGATCCAGGAACCTTTGCTGCCCGGGAGTCTCTCTAGGCTTAAAAGATCCCAGCAGGAAGGGACTCTGCATTAGGGCATCTGATCTGTGCTTCCCCACTGTGAAGCAGTGCTTCCCACTGCTGGGTCAAGAGGAAAACAGCCCCTCAGAATTGAATAAGAAATGCTGGACCTCAACATGTAACAGATTCTGGCACATTATCATAGTAGACTTCATACAAACTATATAAGTAAAATCCTGTATAAGGAGAGTGCAGGACAGCAAAGAAATGAGCTCTAGAGACAGTCTGCCAGAGATAAGACACTGAGATGTGTAAGGGATTTTAGAAAGGACCCCAAGGAGGTGATCTGCTCTGTAACCTTAGAGGCATAGAGTCTGTACTTCAGTGCAGTCACTGGCCAAGCTACTCCTGCTTCACTCTGGAACATTTAGATTACCTCACTGTAGTTACACTCCATTTTCTGTATTACTCTATCCTTGTCCCAGAGTAGAGGAGAACATTGCCATGGTATTACAGAGTAAATGCTGAGGATCTCCAAAAGGTTCAGAGGAGCCAGGGATTACTCCTGTGTCATTACAAGGCAAGGAGCTACCTGAACAGGTCTCCTTTACAGAGTCTTCAGAAGAGTCACTGTAAGGATCAGGAAACCATAAGCAGAGTAATCAGCCTCTGTCAGTCATTGTTACCTGAGCGCACACTCAGATCCAGCAATTTGTCTGGCAGCACATTAAACTCTGTTAAAAAACTGTAGCAACACCCTGATAACGATGTGCTCAAAGCCAAACAGCCACCACTGCACATCAAAAAGCTTCCCCCCTCCCTCCTTTCAGAGGGGAAACTTAAGGGTAAAATGGCATTATTACCATGCTTGTACAAGAATTGAGACAGCCAGAACACGTTGCTGATTTCCAAATCAGGCCGCTAAGACTGCCACGCAACTTACATGGACACTGAAATGCTCAAAAGCTTTAGCAAGCCCACTGCCGTGTGGGCACAGCATAAAAGAGAATGTGTTTGCTTGTTACCTCTGCAGAACTGAGCAGGGCACCAGATTACTCCTTCACCACAGAGAATAAGCACGCTGATAGAGCTCACAGCTCCACCCAGCCCAGGAAGCAGGAGGACAGACCTCTGAGTCAGACTCAACTCTCAGATGTGGCACTGAAGCACATAAACCACAGACATCAGCTTCATTAAAACATTGCCCTGTACTAGTTCGCAGAGTTTGAGTCCTAAGAGACCTAAGCTCTGATTTAAAACGAACACCTGCTTAAACAAGATTAGTCATCACTACAACCAAGCTTCTCCCTGGCTTTCTAAAAGCAGCTGATAGTTTCTATCTGGGAGTGGGGGCAACACAACCCACTGGCTTCCCAAGTGACTGATACGAAAGCCTTTGACCTGAAGCAAAACAGAGTTACGGCACATCCGATTCTAATCATTCACCGACAGCCACATCAACAGCTGCACGTGCTTTTCCACCTGGCATGGCAAGCAGTGTCCTTCCCTTCCCCTGACAGCAGGCAGAGGCCTCTCTTCCTCCCTTCTCTGTGGCAGGCAAAAATCCCCGCACATTTCAAACAGTCCGTCAGTGCAGGGAACATCTCCAAGCAGAATAATTCATGACAGCATTGAGACTTAGGTATGGGCTGTTCTCAGCACTGAGATGAAAGCAAATTTGGAGAGGTGGGGAGGGGTGTTCTCCCCTAACTCAGACTTGATCAGGTTTTTTGCTTTGTCTGCAGTCTGGCAAGTCCAGGTCATCCTCCTAAAGCAGGGCTGGGTGCATATCTCCACCTCCCAAAGCCAACTGAAAGCCAGGTGGCAGATGGAGACATAAGCAGCAGATGGAGATATAACACCCAACCATGACAGCAAGCCAGCCAGTGTTCCTCTGCCCAAGCTCCAGGCTCACCTGCAATGTGCTGAATGCCTTGAAGAGAGCAGGAACGGGTGAACAGCGACGAGCATCCACAAGAACAGTGAGACCCAAAGCCTGACATTCTGGTCTGCAAGGACAAAGATAAAAAGGTCACCTTCGTCACCAATGAAAATTAACAAGACTATGGGAACAGAACTTGTAGTCATGGCAGGGTAAAAAAAACCAGTACAGTTAGGCTTTGTAATAACAGGAACTAACTGGCCACCTTTTCCTAAACAAAACATATACACAGAAACCACCAAATGATTGTCAGTTTTTACCTTTGCTGTTTGATTCTATGACTTCCACCCAATTTCCCATTTCTCACATTCCTAGAATATGTGCCACTGATGGCAAAGGTGCTGATGCCCACTGGATAATACACACAGGAAAACCAGTATTTCCTAATTGTGTTCAGGGACAAGCTTGGTTTCAGCCTCACTGCTTCAAAAGAGCAGCCAGTCTGGAGCAGACCCAATGCCTATCTCACCCAGAATCAGATTTGCAAGGAAAAGCCTAAGAAACCAAGCATGAGTTTCTCATGGGTTAAGCCTGCTCCCCTTATTAATTGTTTAAAAACCTAAAAACCTAAAAAAAAAAAAAAAAAAAAAATCACTGTCAGAGTTAGCTTTACCTCTTCTTATTTAATCATCTAAAAGTGAAACATAGTGATGAGCTGGGGAAGAAGAGTATGTCATAGTGAAAGGAAGAGAAGCTGCAGCAAACTCCAGCCTGTAGGCTCCAAAAACAATTTTCAGCCAGACATCAAGGCGGACTCTCAACCCTTGCAGATCCTCCCTCCCTCTAGCTTGGAGGCCTGGCACTAAAATATCATGTCACAACACTATCACAGACCTGCTGCATGACTGCCCCATGACAACTCCCAAATTCCATTTTCTGAACTGATGAAGGATAACAAGAATGGCTTGGATTCATGGCAACACATGAAAACATTCAGTACATACCCAATTATATCACCCCATGTGCACACGGCATACACAGAATAGGTAAAGGGCTTGCTGAACACAAGCCTGTTCACCCTAACAGGAGATTCCCACCTGTGTAATTTCAGGACTGCCTGGACCAAGTTCCTAGGCCTCCTTCCATTTCTGCCTCAATTTCCATCTCCCTGAAAGGCAGAGTGGACAGGGCAGCAGCTGTGTGCCCTGTCAGCCCAAGAGCATCACAAACCTTGGGATGCTATGCAGGTACAGGAGCAGGCGTACAAGCTCAGTGGTATTGCAGTGGGGGTTTAACCAGGCCGTGTTCCTCGTCGTTATTATGGCCACTGCACGTCCTGATTTGTCTCTTGTACCTGTAAAAAGAGAGGAAGGATGGAAATCACACAAGTCATTCAACAGAGCTTGGTTCCAGGTCTGTATGCCTCATATTCTCCCACTAAGACCCCACCATCTTCCTGAAATCCTCCACAGAACTCAATATAGTGTATGTTGCTGACGGTAAGAGGCTATAAACACACTTCCAAGTACCCAAATGCTGCCCCCATTTATTTCTTCATAAATAGGGCTGAAGTTGCCTAACAATAATCTTGAGAAAAGCAGAAATCTCATAAATTCAAGATACAGACTCTCACCTTCACAATGCTCTCAGATGAGAGAATGCATTATCACAAGAGGAGGAGGACCTAACAGTGCCAGTTTTGGAATTATGTCCAGCTTCCTCTCCAGATGCAAAAGGAGGATAAAAAGCAGGTGGACGCACCACTTTGGAAAGACAGAACTGCCTCTGAGATTCAAAATCAGGCAGCACCTGCAGTGAGCCTGCTCAAGCAACTGGGGAAGTGATTTGGGGAACAGGAGGGACAAGACCTCTTTTGTGTTAAAAGTAATTTAGAAGAACAGGAGCCATTTCCTGTCATACAAACTGGATAAGAAGGACGAGAGGGGGGCAGAAATCCCAAGCACAAGACAAAAACAGAGACTTAGAGAAATCTGTTTCTTTCCCTCCTTAACACTGTTGCTACCACGGGAGATACTGCCCTGGACCACCTCTCTCCCCCATCCCAGGGACAAGCATGCAAGCTGACAAGTGAAACAGATACAGATGGACAGCCCCAAGCATGGAAAGCTGCCCCAGTGTGATCCCAATCTGTCACTAGGACATGACTCAAGTAAGGGCCACAGACACAGATGGAAACCATTTTGAAGCAAGGCTTCCTCCCTCCCAGGGACCAAAACTGTGACACAAGCTTTCTCCTGCTAACAAAAATCTTTCATCATCAGTGTGATTCAGGAGGACTTTTATTACTCCTGAAATACTGTAGGCCTGGATGCTGCACGATCAAAGAGATGGAAAGAAATTACAAAAATCTTATTAATATAATTTGTTTCACAAGATAAGGGGACCATCACAAAATAAAATAAAAAAGCAAAGCCCTCAATTACTGGAAAAAAATGGCTCAATAACCAGGCTCAGTAAAAGCTTTCTAATACTGAAGCAACATCTTCTGTCCATCAGGCAGGTTGGGCATCACCAGAATTTGATTAAACCTTGAACTTTCAACTAGTAGCCTGGGAATTGCCTGACCATGTCAAAAAAGTAATCACAGCCACCAGGGCAACAGTGACATAACACAGATCATTCAACAGTGGCATAACTCAGAGCAGAATCCAGAACTGAAACTATCCTGAAAGTTTTGGCTAACTCCATCAGCAACTAGTTTATTAATTAGCTCCTACTCACCGTTCATTACAAAAGTTCTTTTTTCTAATGTAATTACTGTATCATTACCACTGACTAACATAAAGCATTTAACTGAGTGATGAGTACATTCCCTCAGGCGTGAGGATTGCCCACTGAAACCCCAAAAAGGCAGAGAGATCAATCAAATCTGATGGTGCTTTTACAGGAAACACAATTCCTTCCTTAGAGAAAAACCTTCTTGGAAGCAGTATCAAACTCAATCCTTGCTTCTTGCAGGCACTTGAAGGGCATTTGATATCCCTTCATCACATATTCAAAGGCTTTTGTCTCATTTAATAGTGGTACATTATGATAGGAATTTGTGACAAAGGGAGTATTAGGTAACATGGTCAGGCTCCTGCAACAGCATGGACTGAGACCTTTTCTGAAAGACCCTCTCTAATCTTGCAACTTTTTGGGCTGTTACATACAGCATGAAAATGTCCAAACTGATCAGCTGACCAGAAGATTAAAAATCCTCCTCTGGAATTTGTTGTATCAATTCATCTCCTAATGCAAAGCTACATGTATGTATGGATGTACCATCATTCTGCCCTGCCCTTGGTTTTCCATTTCACCTTCTTCCAGAAACTGGAAAAGTTTTAACTCCCTTCTTCCTTCCTGGCACAAAAGTGATTCCACCTCTTTCTCAATCATTCTATGAGATAAACAACCTTCCAGTCTGTTGTTGTAAGACACCCAGTTTGGTTACAAGGAAGGGCTGTCACCTTTCTCTGCATCACGTCTAATATTTACTATTTCCTTTTACAGCCCTAAGTATTTCAGAGGCATCACCAACAAGTATACAGAGGTAAAAAATCAGTCTCTTGATCTGTCTAGTCATCTCCTCCCCTTCACACATCTGAGATCAAAAAGAGTCTTGTAGACCCAGCACCACCCGGGAGATGCCTGTGCTGCCTTTCTGCTCTCCTTCCCAACTCCTCCACGCTGCACAGCCCTCTCCTCTGAGGCTGGGTTCTCTGCCCAATTTTCAACTTGTACATGGCCGCTGAGCTGATCAGCTGCAGCTCCTCCTGTCCCACACTGAACAACCCCCTCGGTGACTCTAAAAGGACAAGCCCACAGGGGCTCTTTACACAGAGCTGCCAACGCTGCTTCTCACTACAGAGGTAGATCTTACTTCCTCTGCTTTACTTCATGTTTGGTTAAACACAAAGACATCTTGTGTGGGCCCTGTACACCAAGCAATCCTGGCTGCTCTGTCCAACAGCCTCAGCTTTGTTCACCTCTCTGCCAGTATTTGTCCCATGCAGAATTTTTATCTGCAGCTATTTGATATTCACTGCTCTATCAGATGCAAACACTGAATAACATTTAACCTACAACCCAATTCCAGCAGAATAATTCTGGGAAGTTCTCCCTTGATACCTAGTTTTGTCATTTGCAATTTAGCAACACTATCGTTCACCCTACACATTACTCATCCACTTCATTGGGATACTCCTTCCAACGCTATGTGTCATGAAATCAAATGTTTTCTAAAAATCTATTATATCTAGGTGGCTACCTTTAACCAACCAAACTTCTAATTACCAAGAATAAAACTGGTTTTCAAGAGTCCTGTCAAAGAGCATCTTCCACATTCCTATCCTTTAATTATCTACCAAGTGAATCAAGTCCCTATTCTTCTGACCAGGTCTGATGTCAGGCCCACCAGCCCATCATTAGCTGCACCCTCACTCTGCTCTTTTTGAACTCCTGGTATGAGCCCAGAGATTTGGCATTTCTGACTCATACACACTTGTTTAACATTTTGAGATTCCTGAGAGCAAATTAATATTAATGGGAGGGAAGTTCTACTTCCTGTCCTGCCCATTCGGAAACTTCAGAGGATTCAAGAAGTGGAACTTCTGAAGAGGTTTGGGGTGAAAAATAGAATTGGCACCAGTCTCCAGCACTGCAAAAGGAGGCTCATCTCCCTTGCCCTCCTACAAACCACATTTCCAAGTCACATTCTGGCTCAGCCACTCACCAGGCAGGTAGGCAACTCCACTCCTGAGCACTTCTGGGTTCACATCCTTGACTATGGTAGGTGCAAACTGACCACCCCAGGCAGTTCCAGAAGTTGGGGATGTCGGTGGAGTAACAGGTGGTGAAGTTTCCTCCAGGGCACTGCTTTTACTCACTGCTTTCAACACACCTGTGCCAGTTGCCTCTTTTCTCATCTCTGTTTCTTCTGACATCACCCCTGTAAGGCAAACAACAAACAGAAGCTCGAGCAGAGTTCCACCCAAAAGGTCCCAGGTAAGTACCAGACTGGGGAGGGACATGCTCCCAGCCCCAGCACTCTGCAGCTCCTCCAGCCCTTTAGCCAGTAGCATGCATGTTCCAAACTTGGTTATAAAATTAATAAGAATTACTGTAATTCTAAAAAAAGAGAAATGTATTGTAAAGTTTGCAAAGTATAAAAGCTCAATTCAGATCGGGATTACTGTAGTCAAGGTCCTTCTTAAAGGTAACATATCAAGCAGTACATTGCTCACAGCCTGGAACTCTGGCACAGTGCAAGTCCCTGGCTGAGCTCCAGCATGCTGGAGTGATAAACCAGCTTCTGACAGGGAGGGCTACTCCATCAGGACAGAATTACTCCCTCAACACTACTTTCAGATTAGTTCCTGAAAATATGAAGTCAACTGGAGGCTGAAAAATCAGCTGGAAGCTAGCCAAAGAGACCTTGTTCTCCTCGTCCAGCCTTTTTTAATTAACATTTCATGTGAAAGTCAAAAACCCATTTAAAAACACTGAGGAACAGGATGATTACACCAACCAGCTCCTGCTCAAGAACTGCAAAAAATGCTTCCTTTGTCTGACACCTCAGCTCTAAAGTACAAGTTATCAGAATCAGTTAATTCTAAAATTATCTTGGCTGCTACATGGAAACTAAGGCTAGTTCTAACAAGTTTCAATTTTCATGTAAAATTATCTAGAAAGAAGAAAAAAAGTATCTACCCACTGTGCAAGAAGTATTATGCCCCATTTCCCAACATCACAAGAATTAGAAGCCAGCAGTGCATCTTCAATAAAAGATCTTTAGCATCCTAAGTAGACAACTAGGCTATCCCTGTTGGCAGAAAGCTATACTAAATGAAAGGCTACACTTCACTACAAATCCTGATACTTCAGTATCTACCAACAAAAATATCAACCTTTCTTTAGGAAAATAAGAGTGGAATATTTATTTGCTTGCTATGAAGTCAGGCATTTTAATTGCTATTTAAAATTTACTTCAACCATCCTACCTTCCTGCTGCATCAACAATGTTGACACTTGACTCAGTTTATTTACTAACAGATTCCAATACTTCATTAAAGAGCAGGACCAGGAACAAAGCAGTCCTTGAAGTGGCTTTCAATACAAGTTTTAGCAGTGAAGGAGATTTACAGGTTGAGGCTTAGCCCCAACTGCTTTCAAAATTGCTAAAATGGGTGAGAGAAGTGCCCTGAGCAGCATGGCTCACTGCAGTAAATCATCCAACAGTGGGGGAAACTAGGAGGAACTCCTGGGCTCTGCACCATCGAGGGCCTGGTGGAATAGCTGCTCATTCTTCTTTGGTAATGCCCCTGATTGAGGAACATCCCTGAGATCCAGCTTGGCATCTGCTGCATTTGGCCACATAAGCTGCTGTGATGACTTCAGGGCTCTGCCCAATTCTGGGCTGTACCAGAGCCCCACTCTGCTCCTAGAGCTACCTCAGCCTCCACTTCCCAGTGGTAAAAGAGGTCATCCACTTCAGACAACACTGTTACATCTTCCTGAAGCTGCATTTTAGAGGGGCACCGATCTCCTGCAGAAAGGGGATCTTGAACATCACAGAGTCATTGAAGTTGTGCCCAAAGGTTTCATGTGAAAAGCTGGTAGACTTTCTAGGAGAACATGGAATCACCTTATCAATGAGCTGTAAGGCCTGCCTATAAAAACTACGCAGTTTGTAGTAAAGGGGTCTGCATTAAATGACAAAAGCCTGCAAAGAGGACCAAAATATGAGATTTAAAGACGACAAGAAACAGAACATAGCTGTGTTCCACATAGGTTACAAACCAGGGCAAGGGAAATACATAAATGTATATGACAGTCCTGCCTTGGATATCTCTGAGGAATGAGGCAGCAGCTCCCAAAAGGCAGGAGAGAAGCATTTTGTTCAGCCCACCACACACAGTCACGGTGCTGGGGCTTTTCAGCCCTGAGAAAACTTCACTAAAGCTGTGCAGCCTCCAGACTAAGTACATCTTGCCCAAACAAAACTCTTCCCCGAGCTTCTGAAGCCCAGCTCAGATCTGCAGATGCCAGCTCTCCCAAACAGGCCCAAGCACACTGTTTGTTATTTGCAATTTGGGGCGGAGGCACTAAAGCGGAAATTGTAGAATGCGGAGGATTACATCTAAACGCAAATTGAGAACAGGGACATCTGAATTTGCCGTGTTTGCAGGTTCCACCTTTCCCCGAGGTTAAGGAAGTGGTAGAGGAGGATTTGCTTGTGTGCATTTCAAAGAGACATTAGCATTTTCCCTGCAAACTGCCCCAGCACCAGTATCATATATGCTAACATCAGGTAGTAACTGGGACCAGGAACGGAACGCCCTAACAGGTGCTGCTCAATATGCCCCAGTGTGGCTTTTCAGCCTATTTCTTGAATATCAAGATATTTTCCACCCACAAAATAGAGGAATTCTTTCCAGAGCTGCGAAGTTTCAAAATCCGCTTTCATTTAGATGTTAATCATTAGGAAAAAACAGCAGTCACATCATCTGTGAATGGAACCAGTGTAAACTTTAAGCCATCAACTCAAAACAGCTCACATTTGACTTCAGACTTTTTAGACTCTATTTGTGCACAAAATAAGCTCACTGAGAATGGAAGTAAAGGGAGAAAGTTAAGGGACAAGGAAAAACCTGCAGACACAGCAAACTCAGATGCCCCAGTTCTGAACATATATTTTGACATAATCTACAATATCTGCTGTAACAAGCAAGCTCCTTCACCTCACACAGAGCAAATTGTGTCTCTGCCCACTGCTGCTGAGGTGTGAACTTCAGATCTGAATTGACCCAGTAAAGCTTAAGCTTTGTTGTTATTTATAGTTTAGGCAAGATACCCAGAGTTTCCAATCATAGTAGCAAAATGACCTCAACAACACACAGAGAATTTAACCTACAGAACTGCCTTGCTGGAAAAGTAGAGCCCATTTGTAGGACATTTGCTTTGCTGTGTAATTTTATCTCTGAATTATCTTATAAATACATCTCTGAGGGTTTAATGGGGCTAGATAAGGGGATGGCTTGTTTGGATCTCAAAGCAATCAAATGTAATTGAATGGATTCAGCTTTTTATAGTGTCAACTATAGTGTTTAAGAAATACTGCCAGCATTAACAGATACTTGAGCTGCCCTTTACCATAAAGAGTTTATTTGGTTAGTTTGGGTGGTTTTCCTGGCAGTTTAGATTGCTTCTTTTGCTTTATAAGCACTGAGATAATAAGGTTTGCTTTTTTCTAAAACTGCAATGCCCAAGTTTAACATCAGCATACCTGAGCCACAAATGTCATTTATTTCAGCCAAATCCCTAGAATCATTTGTACTGTCTTTCATTAAAAACAATCTCTGTCTGTACCCCAGAGGGGTCCATCACTGCTGAAATCTCCAGCAGTGGCCAAGATTTAGTCTTTGGACCAGTGAGAACATCACGTTTATCTCACAACGAGCTAGACCTGGCTAATCACAGAAGTGATGGGAACACTGAACAAGCAGCCACTGGACTCACGAGCAAAGTGTCCACCCAGCACTAAACACAGACTAGGTGTTCCAAGGCCTGGTCCTAAGCAAGCAAGAAGTCAAGCCAAGTTCAGCTTGGCCAGGGGAGTGGATGGTTATTGGACAGTTATTTCCTGGCATATATCCCCCAAGACACACAGATAAGCAGAAGGTGATTTTTTTTTTCTGCTCATGGTGATAGATGCTCAGAGAGACGTGCACTGCAGAAACAGAAACCTTTGAGCTGATCCCTCCATTTCACACAAGAGAAATGCTTGTCACTTCAGAAGTATCAGAAATGCCTGGCAACCCTGGGGCTGCCTAACTATGGAATTAAATTAGTTTGATGCAAATATTAATGAAATTTTATTTTAATCAACGGACACTAATTTAGCTTCATTAGGAGGTTACTAAGATATGAGGTAAAATGTGACTTTTGGACAGTTGAGAAGCAGGTGTGTGTGGCAGTCAAATGGAATCATGCTCAGCTCTTGGCCATATAATTTGGGACCAGGGCAAGCACTACAGTGACAGCACGTCCCAAGACAGCCAGGTCTGGATGTGTTGCCCCAGAGGGTCAAACATGCTCTAACAACATGGCTCTGTATGCCAACCCTTTCAAGAGGCCTCACTCCAATATTTCAAGCTGGGTAATTTTCCTAGCCAGGGGTCTCAGGGAATGAGAGCTGTTGAACTGGAATGGCATGTTCCACCCGCCCCCGCCGCACACCCGCTCCTCGGGGAGATCTGCATATCGAGCTGCAGCTTTCCACACTCAGCAGAGCAGGGCAAAGCCCACACCGGGCCCATGCGGTTACACACTGCCTGCCTACAGTCTGGTGCAAAAGGCACCTGGATTGCCCTCTCAATTCCTCCTGAAGTAGCACAGCTCCAGCTCAGGAACACAAGCATCGAGAAATCTTGGTAATACCTGCTGGAACATTCCACCTGAGTTGAAGTTAGATGCTTAATTTCTGTGCTCTTCCACTCAAGTTAAACAGTTCCTACTTGAAACATAATCGAGCTGAAGAAAGCATGCCGGAGGGGAAGGCAGGGAAGAGGGGGGAATCCCTCAGCTCTGCAGTTTGCTGCCTAAATCAGTTATCAGCACGTACATTTGTTGATCTTCAGGTCACGTTACACAGCTAGTATTTTACTGTGGCATCCACTGCTGCTTCCTCTTGCCACAGCCATCTTCTTAAAGCCACTTTTCAACTATGAAAGACTTGTACACTCTCCTCATACATTCTGCACATCATGAATGTAGCAGGAGGAGGTCACCAGCAATCAGATTAACTGAAATTAAAAGCTTCTTCCAATGGAACTTTGTTCTGTACTAATGTAAATTTGCAAAGAATGATTAAACAAAATACCACAATAAACCCACCTGTGAAGAGAAAGCTAATTTCACACCACAAAAAATGACAATTTAATCATTTCCCAGTATTTTGTGCTATTACCCCAAAGCCTCCCAGATGTATTTATCAAATCTTTCCTGATAAGGAGTATTTAAGCAGTACTCCTTCAGGACTTTGCTTTCAATCCGTGTTACCAAACACAACCACACAAACATCCAATGGCTGTACCTTTAGCAGCTGATGCCCCAGAAGTTGCCTCTGGCTGGGAGTGCAGAGTGGTAGGCTCTGTATGTTCCTCAGCAGGTCCTGAGGACAGTGGTCCACCCTCCAATTCCTCTTCAATGGATTCCAGTGTTTTTGAGGCTGTGGTCTTCAACCTTTCCCTGTAAGAAGAACTTTCCTGGTTCTCCACCTGTCCCTCCAGGTTCAGCACAGAGTTCTCTTCACTTTCACAGCCATGGTTTTCCACCAGCCTTTGTGGTTCCTCAAACTTTCCTTCAGACCTCTGGGTTTTGAACAAATTTGCATCTTCTTGTGCATCAGGAGCCAACAAGTCACTGTTATTTAATTGTTCTGCCATCTGATTCCCCTCTGCTGATAGGGCAGTTTGGAGTAGTACGGCTTCTTCAGCCTTTTTATGCTCTTGCTCTTCACCATCTGACAAGGTTCCATCTGCTGGAGCTTTTACAGAACAGTGACTGTGACTAGTCTGATTTTCATTTACTGTCAACATTTCTTTAGACTCTTCCACTTCCTCTTGGCTGCTCCTTCTTCCCTCCTCAAATTCATCTACATCTCCTTGGTTCTCTTCTGGAGGATTTAATGGAGAACTAGTATTTGCTTCATTATTGCTGCAGCAAGCACTTACATCTGCCATGTTCCCTGAAGGAGAGCCTCTCTCCCCACGCACATCCAAATTCTCAGTCAATGTAGTGACCTGCACTGGCTCAACACTTACACTGCCACCCTGGCAAGGGACATCAGAACCTTCCTTTAGTGTGCAACATGGTCCCAAAGGCCCTAGGACAGATACAGAAGCATCCATCAGTGTCACCTCCTTGTGACCCTCAGTCAGTGGTTCTGTGTGTACTCCCAGCATCATTTCCTCTTTAGCAGCAGTAGCATCTAGAATCACTTCTGGGCCCTGCTCTGATGTTTCAACACCAGCATTTCCACTAGGTCCATCACTTTCTCCCTCCATGTTTCTAGGGGCACCAGGCACTTGTGCTTTGCAGCAGACAGCATCTCCAGCACACACATCACTGTAGCTGCACAGTGCGTACTGCCAATCCAGTGAGTGCTCACTGTGAGTCTCCTGCTCTGCAGATAAATCTTCTACACAGCAAGCAGGAGGCTCGGCCACAGGAATGTTATCACCCATACTTCCAGGATCAACTGGCAGCAGCTGACCTTCTGGAGACAGTTCTCCATGTGCCATCACTTTGTTGCCTTCCGATGGAGTAGCATTTTTGAGAACTTCTGTAGAAGTGCTCAGAGTGTCCATTTGACAGTGCTCCTTCTGCATAAGTGCTGACTGAATTAAGTTCTTGGAGTAGGTGCTGCCTTGTATGACAATAAACCTGTGCTTGCCTTTAGACTCATTCACTCGTGCCCTGGGCTGAGTAAGATAACTTAATGCCAGCGACTGGGTTAAAGATCCTGTTTGTGGCCCAAACCTGGGCAGTGAAACTTCTGCCAGCTCAACGTACTCCCCTTCAAGGTCACTCGTCAAGTCCTCTTGAGTCACAGGACTTGTACAGACACCATTGACCAGAGCTTCCTTTAACTGTGGAGCTGTGCTGCTAATGACAGGGTTGTCTTGATTTGGGCTTAGTTCCTGTAGGTACTGAGACCTCAGGTCTGGTGAACTGCACTCAGTACGGTCCGTGGGGAGGCACAAAATGGAACGTTTCTCTGTTATTTCTGGAGAGATGATATTGTTTTCAATTATTTTTGGTTTATTTATAAATTCAGGATTAACCACTTTATCCCAGGGGACACGAAATATTTTGTCATCAGTGGTTAGTAAACAATTTTCCAGTGCTATGCCCATCCGCTCTCCATTGAATGTACTCAACCATTCCAGAGTAAAAATAGAGGTATATGAAACTTCTGGAATCACCACTTCTTCTACATTATGCTTATCTTTTCCCAAACATTTCACTACAATTCGTGGAGGCTTCTTCAGAGAGGGGACCACCTGCAGGTAGAAGTCACCAGGCTTCAAGATTTGCCAGTCAATGGAAGCCAGCTGGATTATAATCTTCTCTTGAATACACAGGGGCCAGCCCGCATGGCGAAACAGCAATCCGCAGTACGGGGCCTGTGGAGACAAGACAGAGTGTTATCAGCACCAGCAAAACATCTCAGCTCAAGCTTTTCAGTAAGAGAGAGATCAAGAAAACAGATGTATTTAGGGTCTTTGGTTATTGGTGTAGCTAAGTTTTTCACACTAAGGTCTTCTCTTTAAAAAGCAGGAATAAGAAAAGCTACAACACAAATCACCTATGCAGGACAGGAGGGCACAAGTTACACTGGGAGGCTGCAACCTCCCAGTGAAGGGAAGAAGACATTGCAAAGACAAAACAGGAGACAGGAAGCAGCAAATGAGGAAAGTGCAGCAGAGTCACAGAGAAAGAAGGCAGCAAGTGCCTTCAGCAAGTTTCAAGGAACCACACTTAACATCCCAGCAATTTCCTCACACCCAAAACACAGCACTCAGGCCATGCCTCAGACAAAGTCCACTCAAGTAAAAAAACTGAAGTTTCATGGCTGAACTGACTTGACTCAATTATTTACAGCTTTATCACAACTTCAAAAAATAATTTCAGTGCTTTGAACTTGATTTTGTTTGGGTAAGATTTAAATTAAGTCATTATATAAGCCATCAATTCCACAGTTAATTTCATCTTTTTTCTGTATGGCAAGGCTTTAAATTCCATTAATTCAAGTATTTTGCCATATAGCAGAGACATCATAGAGCCGAAAAGAACTTCCTGGATCCTCACACACCTTGAAACAACAGGTACTGCATAAAGCAATTTCCTTCTTATGTTCATCAAGCCTTACCTTCAGCCCCACCAGATTTCTAACTCTCCTTGCACCTGAAGCAAAGTTGCTCACAGGTTTGGAAACCCAAATCATCCTTCAGATTCAGTAATTCCTCCTTCCCAACCCTGTATTTTCTGGATGTGTTCCCATTGTTTAGACTTATGAACCCATGTCACATGACCTTAGCATGTCTACCTTCATCATCTCTTCGGTGTGCCTGAAGTACCTCCTTTGTAATGCCCATTTCTTTTTCTTAAAAACCATTTGGTCATTGTGCAAAGCACTCCAAAACACTGTCAATAATAGCACCAGCATTTCCCAAATGTGCTAGAAGCATCTCTTAAAGCTAAGATCCCACTTGTCTTCCAGTCATGCCCCCACAGTATCTACTGGTTTTTCTCTTTAAACTGATGAACTCCAGCTTACAACAGAAGTTCTGCCTGCCACTTTGAGGAGGCACATGCCTGCCCTCTGAGTCCACCATCACAAAAACTTAAGTACAAAGTTTTAGAGCTCATCTTATGCAATGCACTTATCACCCTCCTCTTCCAGGTTATTGTTTGTGTGTCCCAGGTTGGTCTCACCACAAACATGCCATACATACTCTTACTTTTAATGCCAAGGTCATGAATGAGAAGCACTGTGTGTTTCACAACTCCTGCCTCCAACTGTTTTTTCTGCAGTACAAACACCTTCCCTTTCACCAGCTTGTAGCCATCTTGCAATTCTTGCATAAACGTCAATCCCTCTGAAAAAGTAATTAATCTTCCATATGACTCCATAATAAATCTTTTATGGCCAAGATTTAACAAGGAAATTTATCCCTCTAGAAAGAGCTGGTTTATTAAAAAGGCTGGTGTGACACTACCTGCCATGGAGCAAACAACATGAAAACGTTATTCAGTTTTTCATGGGTCAGTTAATTCAGTCCTTGCTCAGTACATGATGTTGTAGGCTCAGCTTGTTCTCTGTATTTTGTTACTAGTCCTGACTTAACAGATTTAATAAAATCCCTGTTACCAGACATTTGGCATTATATGGTAACTTCTTCCACATTCCAGGACAGAGACCTGCCAGTCCTATTTCTTTGACGTAGTCAAGTTCAGTCACAGCAGTTTTACTTCTGTTCACTTACTGCTACTGCCCTACTAATGTACCTACACACTGTACCACTACAAAACTGAACCTTACTTTAGTTTTAAATTACTAGAAAGGTAGTATCAATGTGATCTTTCTATTCTAACCTCGACTCAGAGCAGACCAACCTTCCCTTCCTTCCTCTTTCTACTAAGTTAGAACCAAAAAGCCCTATAACCTAATACACAGTTGCTTGTACTTCCCTCAAAGGCACAGCTAAGCTGTGCAGTCTGATGTTCTCAGGCTTTCTGATCTGCAAGAATCAGATGCCTCTATCAGTAACTTCCTTTCATCCACAGTACAATTAAACTCAGCAGACCAAGACCATCTCTTGCAGCAGTTTGCACAAGCTGCTCTGGCTCCAGCAGGCCGTAGGCTAAATGTACTTCATGGACTTTTATATCAAGCTCAAGACTCACATAGCACCCCAGTCAACAAAGCTTATGACTCCAACAAAAGTACCCAAACCAAGTATTTTGTACATGAGTTTTAAACTAGAGCAATTTGCAGTTTTCCAGAAGAGACTGTACCATCAGAGTATCTCCTAGTAGGTATATTAAGGCCAAGGGTCTGTAGCGGGTCTTTCAGGGGACGAAGAGGCAGACAAAGATCTGTTCCCAAACTATTACAGTTTATAGGACTAAAAAGTGAAAGACACAATCAGCAGCAGCATAAACATGAAGCTGAATTCCATCAGCACATAATTGACATAGAGATTCTGTTAAAATTTGGATGCAGAGGAACCCACTGGAAGGCCATTCATACACTAAGAAATTCAAAAATTGAGCCTCACTACTTAGATACTTGTCTGCTTACTAACTCATAAGGGGAAAACTCAGCAATAAAATCACCAAAACCAAAATGCAGAATGCATTGAAGTTCCTGAAAAGCCCTACAAAGCCACAGTCTAAAGTGCATAAGGAACCAGAGTAACATCCAAAGCAGGAATGGAAGTCCCACAATAGCCTAAACATTACAGAGCTTTAGAACTTTAGAAGTGGAGCATCCTCATGCTGCTCCTGCTCCAAAACGCACCTTCAAAGGGAAGATTATGTGAAGAGGCTTATTACAGTCCCTTTAACATCTCATTTTGAGGCTCAAGGATTTGCTTTTTTCGTGTCCAAACACTACCAAGCCAAACCAAGCTCATCAGAGGAGTGCCAGGAACACCCTCTACACCCAGTGGCTGCAGCCAGGAATAAAGCTGCCTCTGAGGAAAGAGCTGGGCACCAATGACAAAAATGGCACAAAGGTGGAATCTTCTAGACCTACAGGGATGGTTAAGCTGGAACAGACCATTTAGCTCAGGATGTTACCTCAAGGCCAGGAGCAAAATCTGTTTTTTAACTTTGTGCTAAGCAGAGGCAGACCCTTGGAACATCCCTTCCAGGCCCTGAGGAATCACACACAGGCTGATGATTTTAATACACCCAGTTGAAGCCCATGAACTTGTAAAACACTTCATGAAGCCATTTACACTTTTTTCAGAGGCTGACAAAAGATCTAGTGCTCTCAAGACTTTTCTACAGTAGTCATTCAGACATGAGCTAATTCTTTTCCCTCTAGTGTGTTTAGGAAATGCTCACACAGAGCATCTGAACTACAAACTAAGAAGTGTTACTTTTGTTTAGGCTTTCTAAAAGGCAGATGAGACTTTCAAAAAGTAATTAGTAAGAAACCATTTTCTGTGATTTCAGACTGCTAAGATGAAGGGGCATACAGTGGAGGTTTGGGGAAGACACCACAGCAAATTAAATACATTTCATAAATAATAAATTTAAAAGATCAAACAAGCTGACTTTTAAATAAAATATGGAATAGTTTGCCAACTCTAAAGAGGGTACAACGTAGAGCTTCCTTCAATCTCCCTGTAGCACCACTCTGGAAGTAAAAAATAATCATGGCCAGAAAGGATCACAACCAAGAAAAGATATTGTTGACCACTCTCCCAGACATTTCACACTTCACCAAAAGCCCCCAGTACCTAATTCTAAGCCTTGTGCAGCCCTTCTTAAAGGTGGCTGCCCAACCAACCCCACATCTTGTGGCTACTGGGCAGGCCAAGGAGTGCCAGGCAGGCCTCCAAGAACAGCTCGTGTCTGCATCACCTCCCCAAACTGTGCTACACAAGTAGAACAGCCCCACCATGCAGGTCTCCCCCTCCCACAGGACACCTCAGACACCCCCACACCTCCATGTCACCTGAGCCCACGCTCCTGGCCAGCCTGGAGCGGGCCACCAGCATCCTGAGCTCCTCCAGCGCCCATTGGTATTTCCCACATGAGGATCCCAACCGCCCACTGCCCTCACACCTCTCCCTCCTCACGACACCCAGTGCCCATCAGCCTCACCTCTCCCTCCTCAGGATGTCCAACTCCCACTGCCCTCACCTCTGTCCCTCCTCAGGCCGCCCAGCTCCCACTGCCCTCACACCTCTCCCGCCTCAGGGCCCAGCACTCCCGCGCCTCGTGCTCCAACGGCCCTCCAAGCAGCTCAACCGAAGCCGCCCTGCCCGTCAAGGCGGCCCCGCGCTGCTATTGGCTGCCTGCAGCGCCGCTCTCCCTCCCATTGGCTGCCGGGTGGCCGAGCCCCGCCCTGCCGCCACGCCCGTGTCCCACCCGCGGCGCCCCGAGGCAGCGCGGGCCGCGGTGGGTGCGCGGTCCTTGCGCGGCCCCTGTCCCAAACAGGTCCCCCATGGACAGCAGCACTGCGGGCCCACTCACTGCTGCTTCCCCTCCTTCCCCGTCACCGCCTCACCTGCCCGAGGCACCGCTGGCCGCTCGGAAGCTGCCGCGATCTCGAGGAGTGGGGAAATTGCTACCTTGGCTCCTTCAGCGAGGGCGGTGTTTTGGGGAAAGCCGTGAAACGTCTTGAAATAATTACCAGTTTGTACAAACGAAAAGCTTTTTGTTTCTTTAAAGGGGAAAAACCACACGATGCGCCATAGAATTAGAAGCTCCAATTACAGATACTGATGGAATAACATCTATTCCAGCGTTCAGGGTGGGAGAGAGCAGCAAGGTCATGCACCACCTTGGATCCTCCTCGACTCACAAAGACGGCTGGCACCAAGCTGGAGGCTGGTGACAATACGGGGCGACAAACACTGCACCAAAACACAGTTTCAAAATGCCTGGCTCACATGGGTTCATCCTATGTGATGGCTCTGCTCCCCCAGTATTTCACTTCCTTGAAACAAATGAGTAACTATTTCAGCCTCTATTTCATAGAACATGGAATTTCCATAGAATAAGGAATTTCCTCCTAGAAATTCCTTGCCCTTTACCATAAGGACTTGAATTAAAAACCTGGCCACACACCTCCTTTGCATTCAGAGACAAAAAGGTTAGAACAAACCTGCATTTTAGGTTGTTTAGGCTGGTTGGGTTTTTTTCCATCTTGCAGACTTCGAGCCAAGTTTTGTGATGGAGGTGTTTGACTCATCGTTTCTAACATTTTAGACTCCCAACAGTAAAGCACGTTAATCTTGGACTCGTTCTGGCAGTAAATGTAACGTGACTCCTCGGGGCTACTGAGCCTTGTGACCGTTCCAGCAACCATCAAAGGGGAGCTGGAGTTCTGGGAAAAACACCGACTGGCAGCATTTCGCCCCACACGTCATCCTGCCAGTGGCAGGAGCCCGACAGCTTCATTCATGGGGCCAGGGAACAGCTGGGGTCAGAGGCCAAGCCAGTCAGCCACATCTAGCAAACACTTCCCTAAACCTCTTCCTGTGAATCCCTTAAGCCCTTGGTGTTCCTGATTATGGAAAGGGAGAACACTGCTCCACACCTGATCTCTGATCTCTGAAGGGTTAAACTTCAACAACAATTTCTGAACTGTTTCCTAATTGTCTGCCTGCCCTCCTACCTAGGCTGCCATACATACTCAAGCACTTTTTGCCAGCCGTTTTGCATACGAGAGCAGAAAGAAAACTCTCCAAGAAAGCCTTCACAGGCCTTAAAGAGCATGATGTACTCACACAGGCATCCTGCTGAATGCACTGCAGGATGTGCTTGGCTGGAATCAGGAAGTCTATGAGGTAGTGCAGTCCATCCCCACGGTACGTCTTCTCCACCACATCAAAAACTTGGCACAGAACAGTGGCTGCAGTAGCCTCAAATGGAGGGTAGAGTGCTGATAACGTACTCTGAATGCAGCCGTCCAGTGATTCTGAGTCCTGCCGAGAGAGAAAGCGTTAGTGGTACCAGGGCACGATTTGCCCAACGCCCAGCAGCGCAGCCATCTCCAAATGCAGGAGGAACGAAGATCAAAGGAACCAAGTGCTGTCCTTTCTAGCTTCTTTTGGCACCAGCGATTGCAGGTAAACACAAAAAAGCTCTCCCAAAACAGGAGTGGAGTGCTCGCAGAGTGCTGCGCACAGCGGCGAGAATTCCCAGCTTTTGCTTACGCAGCAAGTCCTTCTCCTGCCTGCGCGGGGTGGGGCGGCTGTTAGACCACACCACAGCACGTGAACGTGTGAGAGAGACAGCCATGGCGTGCGAGCATCACCAGCCCCGAGTTTTGGGTACACTCCTTGCTGGGGTAAGGGAGTTGCAGTAGGCTGAAGCTCCTCAGCCTCCTGCACTCTGGAGTCCCAGCACAGGACAAGGTGCCAGAGCTGTTTGGTTCTGTGGAATGAAGTTCACCAGTGCAACTCCTCGTTACTCAAAGCTGTTTGCCTCTCATGAAAGGTTCTACTCCAGGAGCCAGGAGTTTTCTGCAGTCTGAGATGCCTCACACCAGGATTCATACAACGTGTGTGAACAGGGCTGCCTGTGGTCCCCGAGCACACCCATTGATACCTAGGATGCCTGATCAGGGGATCAGAGGCAATGGATTGCTTGCATCCACCTTCATTTGGGAGAACCTGCCAGCCAGAGCCTGCCCATAGTGTCAGGACCAATTCCAGTGCTGGAGGCCAAATTCTGAGTTATTGCATGGGTGTAAATCAAGAGAACTTGCCAAAAAGTAACAAGAAAAAATATATAAAGCTGTACATATCTGGAGAGAGGATCAGCATCACTCCTTTCTTTTCTGTTTTAAAGGGGATCCCTTGGGCTAACTTACAGCCAGTGGGAGTAAGTTTTGCTACAAAACCAAATGAAAGTTTACTCAGGTGTCTGGCCAGAACCTCATCTGATCTAAATCCACCTCCTTTCACTAGAGACAAGAAAAGCACTTCAGCTGCTGACCCAGAAGCCCTACAGCCTCCTGTAGAACAGGAACAACTGCATGGACATGCCTGAAAATACACTTGAGTCTCACGGCAAGATTGAGAGGGAAAGTTAAATAGTGCTGCAACAGCTTACACCACAACTGGGGAACAGTAGAACAAGTGGATCAGGAGGAAACAAATGGTTTTACTGCTTCCACTCCATGGCAGTGCATCACTCAGATGCCTGAGAAAGTTCAAGAGTCTCAGAACAAGCCTGAACTGACCTGCAGCCCAGCAGAGATGATGCTCCTCACACAAGCCTTTCCATCCTCGCAGCTTAACGATCTCCAAGTTCCTTCTTTAGAGGGTTGGATATTTAAGCACAGTATAAACTCCCTGCTCTGATGCAAAGCCACCTTGTAGGACAGCCTGTGGGACCGCACAGGAGAGGTGAGGACGCCCTGGTGATGCCTCCACAATCCCTGCCTGCAACGAGCTGGCAGAACTACAGTGACAGGCAAACCACATGCTGCCTGTGGGACAGTACTGCTTCCTTACTTTTTCTGCTGTTTCTCCTGATGTCAGCAGCAAGCAAGGCTAGATGGCAGCAGGCTCCTGAAGTGTCCACACCTTTCCTGAGAGACCAGCTGCCTCCTGCAATACTCAAGTCCAATGCAACCAGATAAACAGAGGTTAAGGACCTATTTTTCACATGCATAGAATCACAGATTATCCTGAGTTGGAATTCTTAATCTAATATTCTTAACCCAAGAATTACAAAAGTAAGAGCCCTTTGTGCACACTCTCAAGTGCTGAATTTAACCCCAATTCTAAATAGAAGGAGAAGGCTGTTTCAAACAATTTACTTTCAGAAAAATAATAACCTCTGGTGATACCAACGTGTCCCAGCAAGTGCCTGTGACCTTGTCAGATAAAACTGGCCTTCACACAGGTGCTCTCCCACCCCACCAGTCACCTGCTTGGGCACTATCACAGTAGCATTGCTGCTGGCAGCATTTGACAACAATCTCCCTCTGACCCTCCACAGCCCACAAGTTCAAAATATCAGTCAAAACCAGCTGGGGTTGGTTCCGCACCATCTTGTGTCCCCATGCCCTGTTTGAGCAAAATTCTTTCAGATATCAATCCCTCCCCAAAATAAATTTGTTAAGTTCACTGTTGCAAATAAAACAAAGAAGTCAAAATATTTGCACATGAGTCAGTGCATCGCTCTAAGTTTCTCACACCATTCCTGCTGCCTTAGCCTTCACAAAACAATTATTAACACTGGCACCAAATCAAAAATCCTTTATACGGTTAAAATAAACCAGGTCGTACATTATCCTTCCTTTAGTAAAATACAGAATAACCATAGCCTGTAGCCATTGCAGAGTGCAGTGCTAACTGCACTCCTGAACACAGAGGCTTTATCTCCCTCTGGCTAGATTATACCACAAAGCCATGATAGCAGTTTAGGTTTCTAAGGGATTGAGAGGTTTCAACCATTACCTTTTGGTAGAAAAATATGTTTGCACCAATCTTGCTAATTCTGCAGGAAAAGCCCCAAACTGGAAGATTCCCACATCCCACTGTGCTGCATGGGATTGTAGCACCAGCAGCCTTGGGAGGCTACAGAACATGGCAGCCTCCATGTGTCACAGATGAACGTGGAGCTGACACTGGTCTTCAGTGCTCCCACCCAGGAACAGCTCCTGCCTGGGTGGAGAGTGAAACATAGCAGTACAATTGAAAATACAGAGGGTAAAACATGGAAGAGCTTGGAGCCTCCAACAGCAACAGATTGTCCTTCAATAAGGGACTCATTAACCCAGCTCACAGTCCTAGAGGTGGGGCTGCTTATTTGCACTAATTAACTTCTCAGATTGCAGAGGGGCTGGAGGAAAGCACCTCAGCCAGGACTGCAAGAGGCCTCATGGTCTGTTGTGGAATGCCAGAGCACAGATGGGCAGCCTCACACATCCAGCCTTCCAGCAGGGCCAGCTGCCATGCACATGGAGGAGACAGGGTTTGCAGGCACAGGTAACTCATACAAACCAGAGAAAGGGATAGTGCCCTGTGGTCCTGAGCTCATAAACCTGAAGTCTAGAGCCCATCTTACCTACATCATGGAATCATAGAATGAGTAAGTTGGAAGGGACTACTGGAGGTCACCTAGTCCAACTTCCCTGCTCCAGAGTGCCCTAGACCATGCTAGGAGCCCCTTACACCCCTGCAGGGTGCCCTAGAGCATGTTACTCTGGACAGTTTTTGAATATCTCCAGAGAAGGAGGCTCCACAATCTCTGGGCAACTTGTTCCACAGGTTCCATCCCTTATCTCAAACAGACAATGTAACCCCCAGCAGGCATGTGGAGAAATTTTTGTGACATGGGATAAGTGAATAGCACCTGGAGAAAAGGAGAACAAGCTAAATGTAACAAGGATCACGGAGGAGACACTCCTACCCCAGCACATTTCCACTACAGCCAGCGCACAGTGCTCCCCAAGAGCTGGCAGAGCCTGGCACAGGAGCCTGCTGAAAAAACCAGCCTCCTTCAAGCTTCCGTGCTTCCAACACTGTTGCCACATCCCTCTCACAAGAAAGGTCCTGGACATGTGCTCCTTTTCAGCCACTGGGCACAAACATCAACAGGAACACTTTCCAAGCAAGCCAGAGAGCATCTCCACAAGCAAAAGGAGTCTTGGGATTCAAATGATTCTTTGTCAATAGGACGGGAGGACCTATAAACTCCAGCTCACTGCCGCTACTCCACCACACCTCCCGAAAGAGAAACATGCTTTTAAAATAACTCCTCTATAAATCAAGGCGCTAAATAAAGCCCAGGTTAAGGTCATGTCCGGCCAAACTGGCTTTCACTGCTGCTCAGCTGAGAGCCAGCTGCAGGGGCTGGAGCACAGGGAGGGAAGAGGAAAGCACCACATGGGGATGGGATGGGCTCCATGGGTTGGAATCCATGGGCTGAGCCTTGTGACAGGAACAACCTAGCATGGTCCCACCCAGGAGGCCAGGGGAGCAGTGGAGGAGGACTTCACAACTGGCAGAGGGCATCCGTCTGAACAGTGGGTGACTGGGCTGCTCTCTCTCCACTGCATATCACAGGAGCCATGGATGCTGTGACAAATAGAACAATAAAGACTGTTGTGGCAAAGCTCTGCTGCTCAGCCCTTAAAGCCCCACTCCATCACAAACTGCAACAAGAACCAGGAATCAATCAGAAATGAGGCTATGAGTGCCTGGGCAGAAGAGAAGCCCAGCAGTTGCTGCAGCCCTGCTCAGGGGACACATCTACTTCTGGTGCAAGCAGACACTGCAGGTTGGAGGAGGAGCCTGTCATGAGGCATCTGGAGTAACCAGGAGCTTCTTGGGCTTTTCTAGGTGCACTGATTGAATTTCCTGCCAACCTTTGTTGGCATGAAGAGAGCAACATAGCAGTTCCGGCCACTGGGAACTCCTGTCATTCTACATTTCTTTCTTACTCAGGACTGAACTTCTTCCTCTTTGGGACCTATTGCTCACCAATTAAGTCTGAGCCCTGGGGAACCTCCTACAGGTTTGGAGAATTAAAAGTCAGCCTGCCTGCAGAGCAGAGAAGTCACCCCCAGACACACGCACTTCACACAGCATCAGAATAGCTGTGCTCTTCTAGCAAGAGATATCAACCCAAGTGGCTCAGGACAACGTAAATCAGTGCAGGGGAGACCTGCAATGCTTCTGGACCCACCTGGGACCACAAAGCCTTGGCAGCATTTTCCCTACAACTCACCCAAGCACTTTGCTCATTTTGCCTACAAAGTACTGAGCCTTGGTCAAGGCGAACATGAAGAAGCACAGATCTTCCGTGCTGGCAGCCCAGATGCTGTCTGCAGACTACTAAAAAAGATTGTTTTGGTGAGACCAGACTAACAGTTTGACTAACCCATGACTTATGGCAGACAGCACTCCTTTTCCATCAGGCTGGACTGGCCCATGTAACACGCTGAGGATTCATTCTGCAACAGGAA